GTATGAAAGATATCCGGAAAAGCAACACCTGACTTGTTCCTGATGTTACGTGATGTCCGTGGTGTTATTCAAGTATATGATGATTAGCATTTACTATCAAGTGTGCCGTCAGTTTAACGTTTCATGGCAGTTATAAAATGTCAAATGTTTACAGTATAAGAGAAACAAGAGATAGATACAATAACTTTAAATCAACTTAACTTATTACTCCAGGACGGCCCCGCCGCGGGCACGCAACGACATCGTGTCGACGACGGGATGGCAATTTACAGCCACAATAAAAGTATCGCGTTTATTGTCGAACACAATTCGTTCGGACAGTTCTAATTGCTACTGCCGCACTCGGTGTCTATTGGTTCCGTAATTTAACCCCCACTATTTTAACATCATGTCGTAATTGACTTTTTTCATTAAATCAGCAGAGGCGCTTAGATTACAACTGGGAAGAATAAATATTCTGACCCCTGAAACATATCTACGTTTACTTATACATATATACCTCAAAATTTATTAACATTAATTTAATGAGTAATCTAACTTTTACTACAACTAGTACGTACTATACTGTTCTATAAACCATGTTCTTAATAATGATCTGTAGTCAACGTAGTCCGTCACAACCAGGATTCCTATCTCTTTGGCTTAGTTTATTTTTTAAAACCTATCCGTTTATACAGATGACTGAACTGTAGTAAAATATTTTTTGAAATCAGATTTTTATAAAATCACATACTAACTCATTGCGGCTACATTTCTGTGTCATAACGTTTGTACCCATATAAAACGTAACAATTTAAGCAAACATCTCTAAAACTACCAATGTAATACTGTAAAGTTACTTTAACGCATTTCACAACACTCCGAGAACTTTAAATAGGTATATAAAAAAGAGGCATTTCTCTTACCCGTCGTTAACCGCAGTTGTATTTTGTGCTCCACTCTTGTATTTCAGTTAGTTTACTACCTACCAGTAAATACTAGCCTGGAATACATTAACTGCATACTCTAATCCGTGTATATACCTAATGTGAAGAAAAGAGACAAAACATGTTACAAAGAAATTATATTTATGCTGAATGCGTTTTGTGCACAAAACGTCACGTATAGTATTAACTGAGTCCGTAGTTGGTTGTCCTTAATCCGTTTCTCTCTCGCTCGTCGTCACTAAGTATAAGCTGCATTATGCCACAACGGTAGCTAGTAATAGTCCATAGCGAATTAAAATACTATAAATTGGGTGAGTATGCCAAGATAAATGTCATCAATACACGTACATAATATTTATACACATATTAAATACTTATCGTTAACTACAATTTCGCCTGCTTCATTAGATTAATGCAGTCTATGTTCATTTAGTGGTTAAAATTAATAAAAAAAAACAATAATTATTCTAAACCTATAAAAACTTATAAACAAATTTGTACAAAACTCCATACATTATTACTATTATTCCTACTTCAGGATTCGCCTCGACATCATTAGGTATATTACATTTGTATATATTAGTTTCATCTTAAATGATTAATTGGCCCCATGCCAATAAGCTTTTCCACTACATCAAGAAACATTGGGTTACATCCATATTATAAAGATAATCACGCTGGTATCTGTAGATACCAGCGTGATTATCTTTATAATATCAAAATTGTAATTTTACTTGAAAATGATTACATATGAAGAACTCTATAATTCAAAATGTACCGAACGATGATAAAATAGTTATTCTAGTAATACAGACTCTGTGTAGTGTCTTTAAAAATACTAGAATGTAATCTGGTGTCGTAGTCATAATCACCTAAGAAGTAGGTGATTATGACTACGACACCTGGAACGGAATGGATATGGAACCTACATTTGTAACTAGCCCCCAATAGATACGTGAGATACCACGACAAAAGAAAGAAATCGAATACATTTAAATTATTCTATTTTAAATATTATGTTTAATAATAAAGCCTATTTATCACCCAAAATTCTACGGTTATACCGTATCTATGTAAGTTGAGGTAATACCAAGGGCAAACCCATTTATAATAAAAAAGATTCTTTATTAAGTATAAGTGTTTTATATGAATAGTATAAGTAATTTATTTAAGTAATTTTATATAAGTAATTTATAAAAAAATATTAGATAAAAAGAGATATTAGTTTAATACTAATTTATCAGTCGGTTTCTGTTCGTCTATTCGTCTATTTTCTGTCATTTAATATACATTTTCATCTTCTAAGCTGCACAATCTTAACGAAACTGAAAAACAAGTTCGTGTCGAATGATGGCGTGTTGTGATAACGAAATTTGAAGTAGGGTCGTCTCGACACGTTCACGAAATTGCCACAGGTAAGGTGATAAATCTTGGATCGAGAAAATAAGCGTCAATCTACGTTTCGTTGTTTGAAAGTAATCCAACGCCCACAGAGGTCGAATGTAAGTGCATGTTTGAAATAAAGGAGAGACATTACATACTCTTTACGATTTCAATACCTGAATCTGTGAATTATCTAATATTTATTTCGAAGGTTAATTTGAAGAGAATGTTATTAAATTTATTTAATATATTACAATTATTCAAAATCAGGTTGTACGTTCTAAGATTGTTTTTATATACTGACACCAATGGAAGACAGGTAAGTTAAGTCAAAAGTATTTTATATGTAAATATTTGTATAATATAAAGCTATGTTGTATGTATGATATTAAATGTAAGCTCGTAAATTAATTGATTATATAATTAGTACAGTAAACTAATACTACCTATAAAAAGATTATACAACAATAATTCATTATAAAAATAAATATAGGCAAAGGTACAGTGGATTGAATTTCTTCAGCAGTTGCAAGTAATAGAATTGTATACTACACAATTACGATACGATGCGTATTTGGTATTATATAATAAATCCACGATGTAATTAGTTTACCAAGATATTAATGAGGTTATTTCCTACACTCGTAACACAGCTGTACTGGAATAACCGCACCATACATGCATCGTTATTTACGCACATCCACGCTAAAATAATAACCCTCCAACGGTTGTGTATAGTGTAATACACAGTCTCCCATACCTCATAAACCAAGATAGACGCGAATCCCAAATTGAGCAATATCTCGTCTTTCACTGTCTCTATATTTATTTACTTAAGCGCAATACAAGCATTGTATTGAGACCGAGCACAACTTGAAATCACAACGACCGTGCGATAAGTGAAGACTACTGCAAACAAAAGTATTTCCGTTCAAAGAAAAATTCGAAGTCAAAGCAGATCGTTATCTCTTGAAAACATTGCAATACAAATTGGAAACTATGAAAATATAGTCTCGCTTTAATTGGATTTTGAAGACGCAATAAGCAGTCACATCATGTATTTATTAATGTTAAAATACATACATGTTCTATATGATCAATAAATGTGAGAAATCGTGAATAAAGCACAGATTTGAATAATACAAAAAGAAAACAATTTATAAATCTTGCCGTGAAAAAAATATTTATATATAATATTTCGAAGATTTCTACTACACCTACTTGCGTTTACTATCTAAATTAATAATACTCTCATAACAAATTATTGTAAAAATAGCTATATTATTATTATTTAGCACAGAAATACCAAATTTAAGAAATTTTAGATCTATGTGACTGATTTTCTTAGCTCATCTACCTACGTACCTACTTAGTACGGACCCTTAAATGCTGTAAAGTGCTTCTCATCGATCAAATCTCAATTAACTTTACCTTCGAAGAAGGTTTTTGAAAGGGTAGTGAACTCCGTGACAGGTTTGCAGCTAAATTCAGATTGCTCAGAATAAATATATACTTTTTATAAGACATGTTCTGAGAACCAAACCAACACCTAATTTAAGTTATTGTGAAATAATGACGATTACACATTGATTCCTAGGCATATAACATTTCAAATATTATATATAATAGAAATGTGTGGTTTTATTAAACAACTATGTAATAAAAAAAACAATTGACTAATCAAGTGACTTTATAATATTTTTATCTAATTTCGATATATCTAAATCTATTTAAAAGTACAAATCTATTTAAAAGTACAAACTTGTATGTCATTACTTGTTTTTCATCTGGAGAAACGAATATGAGCTACTTTTTTTACGGTCCTAATTTTGGTCCTTTTCTTGTCCACTTGCTATAATAATTCTTGATATATATATATATATATTTGCTTTCGAATTAACTAAAACCATACATTATAATATCTGATGTAAGTTTGCTATATCAGTACCCCTATATAACGCACTAACGAGCTTAACGGCTGTTACACCAACTTTTTACATAACTTTCAAAGTCATTTTGTCGATTCCAGCACGTGAATCCAGAATAAGGGTCAACCTTTATTTTTTGTTAACATTCATAAATGCTTGCAATTTAGGAGAGACAGCAACCTGTATTTGTGCCTTCAGTCCAAAGCTAAGTTTCACTTCTTCAAACGTAAGATAGATTATCTAACTTGCTTAGATAATAATGTTATTGCATGATTCACTTAGGAATAGTTCGATAAAGTAGGTCAGTAACGTTTACCGGTGTTTCACATTCTGTTATGTATCCACCTCTATACTTACGTGAGATCATTCCAATCCCTTGAGACGTAAGCGATGCTTGTAATGGTTTTCAATCCTATATGCCGCCAATGTTTCTATAAGTCAATGTACAAGAACTCAATTTAATTTTTTTTCTTTCTTTAATAAAACTGTCGTTATAAAATTTATATATTAGTACTATTTCTATTAATAAATATGTTTAGTACAAGCATTTTATAAATATAAAAAACCTGTATATTATTAATAGTGACAGTAAATTAATTAATTCCATATTTTTAAAATGATTTGCATTTTTATAACTTTTATTTTATTTCGAGTACAATAAAACTATTCAGGAATAATAAAATATTATGATTGTACTTTGAATTTCATTTATTTCAACTTTAAAAGAATGCATCCATGATATCACTTCACTTACAAACAATTTAAATTCTTATCGCAATCATCAGTTCAAGTATTTACAATTTCATAATTATTAACAGTTACTGAATGTCTATCTGTACATAATCTACTTAATTATTATGATAGGAGTGTTCAACGTCTGGTCTTTTTATTATACACTTTACTTTTAGTCCGTGGTGATAAAAATTCATAACACAGCACCTGCTACCTACTTAATTACGATACAACAAAGTAGTAAGCCACTCCGGTCGAGATTGTTGCGGCTTGTACTCTGGTGGGCTGAGAGCTAACGGGGATGCTGCATCAGCTAGAGCTACAGAGGACGAGGTTTCCGTTACAGCTACACTTGGTTTTCCTTTTAAAATTGATCTTAATTCGTCATTATCCACTGCCCTATTTCTCTGCAAATTTTCTCTAGTTTCTTTCATCCTTGAGAGCTGTTCTCTTAAGCTTCTATATTCTTCTAAAAATTTTTCAAGCTGTGATGCTCTAAAGTCAAAATCCTCCATTGGTTGTCCAGTTCGAGAATAATCTCGAAGGCCCGAAAGATCTAATAGTGGTGTAGCGGACGGCACAGTTGGTTGTTCCCTCGAGGGTGAAGCGGGAAGACTGGGATTGCGATGTGCTCGGTTACCACCCGTAGAAAGATCTAAAAAACTATTAGATCGTCGCCCAGAAGGTTTTTGTCTATTTTTATCATAAGGTTTATCAAAAAAAGTAGCTGAATCACCACCAGAACTATTTCTTCTGCTACTCAGTAGAGGACTACGACTATCTCCGTCTTTTCTTCGAGGAATAGTATAGAAATAGTAAGGATCATGTTTAATTTCATTTCGTAAATATGAAGAAGTCCCTAAAGCACTCATTTCTATTAAATCTGGATAGTTTTTTTCACTATCACTGCCCGAAAGATCATTATCAAGACGGTCACGTGTTCGTGGTCGAGGACACGATCGAAGGTTATTATTATAACGATTATTTTCGGATAAAATCTCTACGTGCGCACTGAGAACTCCTGTTGAATTTGTGCCCTGTACCGATTCTAAAGCTCCGTCAGTTCTGTAACAATGGAAAAATAGGTTATAAAGTAGCTATAATGTAGTACGTGAACACAAATCACGCAATTTTTACTGTATCTTAAAGGGTTATTCTATACCAATAGTCTACTTTATGTGTTTACCATATAAGTTACTAAGATGTATAATACATGTACATGTTAAAGCATAAAAAAATTACCATTAAATTATATTACAATAATAAATATTACCGTAAACTGTAATCGCTGAACCGTGGTATGTGAAGATCTCTTTCAGGAACATTATTAATCGTATTTCTTAAACTGAACTCTGGCCGAAGCCATTTTGTTTCCCTAGGTGGTGATACTGATGTATCTAACTCTTCTTGAACTTCACCCCTCAAGTAACCTTGATAGTCATCCTCCGGATCATGTGAAGGAACATTTCTATAATCACCTCTTTTTCGTCCACCCTCATTAGGTAAAACTCTTGGAACTTCAACAGTGCTCTTAAGATTTGCATCTATTTTTTCATAACTATCATCACGATGATTTGTTGTGACTATCTGTTCATTCCACCTATCTAATTGTCTTTTTTTACGAGTTTCATAAGCACATAATACTATTAAACACGAACTTAAGACTATCACAGCAGATACTGCCATTCCCGCCATAAGAGCTCGGCCACCAAAACTTCTACCTTGTGGTTTCTTCTCAATTACCAAATTTAAAGTAGCTTCTGCTTTACCAGCACGATTTTCTGCATTACATGTGTAAGAACCAGTATCCTGCATATCTGTTGATTTAATAGTTAAATTACTAGTTTTTCCTTCACTACGTAACATAAAGGTCCTACCAGAATTGACATTACTTGATGTTGTATTGGCAAGTAAACGACCCGCTCGAATCCATCTAACTCTAGGTGCAGGTACACCTGATACTCGACATACTAGCGTTACTTCTTCCCCTTCCACACCTTTAAAATGATTTGTTGCTGCGCTTACTTCTGGTCGACATGCAAAATCTTCTAGGTCAAGGCGATCCCATGATTGAGACATTAATCGTGGTGGTAGAGCACAATCTGGTACTACTGTAGCAGGCACGTTTCTTCTTATCATCCAATCCCGCATTGGTCTTAAAGCACAAGTGCAATCCCATGGATTATTTGCTAATTCTAAGCCTTTTAATGATCTTAATGGTGCTAGTACGGCAACATGTAGAACCTGCAATTTGTTTTTACTTAATTCTAAATATTCAAGGGATGCTTCTAGTCCAATAAAACCTCGGGGTCCAATTTCAGATATTTTGCAGGCACTCAAAGTTAGCCGAACTAAATGAGGTAAAGCTAGAAATGCTTCATCTGATACTTTTGTTATAGGATTTCCACTCAGGCGTAGCTCACGAAGCTCCGGGATAGAATCAAAAGCATGTGATGGTATATTATCGAGTACATTGCGTGAAAGATCAAGTTCAACTAAATTTACAAGAGCACGAAATGCAAAATTTCGTATAGTCCGTACTTTGCAGGAGGGAAGATATAGACGTTGTAGATTAAGTAGACCAGCAGCAGCAAAGGCATCGTTACGAAGAATAGGTAAGCTGTTTTCGGCAAGATCAAGAAGTTGTGTGGTGGGATCTAGTCGCGGTGGGACAGCGGTGAGGCCAGCATGTGCGCACAATGCAGACTCCTTGCCACTTCGCCATTTGCACTCGCAATGACGGGGACAGTCGGCGGTGGCGGCCGCCGCCAAAGCGAACAGCAACAGCACCCACATGCCCCGCGCCAGCTCACCCCGCACCACTTCGTTCGTCTTCACCTCCGAGCGTCATCCCCTGGACGACTTTTCTGTAACCAAAAGAAATTATATTAAAAACTACCAATACTCCTCGGTTTTAGTCTCTTTATAATTGAAGACAACAAATTTATGACCATTTCATATATATTTGATTAAATCGAATGATAGGATACAATAACAATAATAATGTGTGTACTATTTTTCCGTTTCGTTCCATTCTGAATTCAAATGTAATTATTACATACAAATATCCAATTATTATTATGATTATTATCCTGATTTATATTAGTAAGAATACAACAAACAACAACTTTTTGAAAATAGTAAATATCGTATTACTATAATGTATTGAATATGTTCTTTTTTAATATATTGTAATATATGTAAAAATGTTAAAATGATAAAGATTACCCAATAAAATTATCTAATAATGTTGCCCATCATTTTAATATTTTTACTTGTCATAAATCTTCATTTAGAGGCAGATTGTCGATCTTACTAAATGAAGACATTGCTGTGACCACGACTACATTTGCTTTCACCCCTTATTGATTATTCATTTATTAATGTCAAGTGGACCCGTGATTCCACAATATCTATTAATAATTTTCGCATTATGAATGCTCTTATGAATACATTATCTAAAGTTATTGTTAGTATTAACTAATTATTAGTATGTTAAATATGTGATATGAAATTCTGTACCGCAAAAATACTATGTAATTAATTACTAACGAAATTAGAATAGCACTGACTAACATTGAAGTAATATAGTTATAAAATTAAGTATTAAAATTTTTGTTCTATATTTGTTAGTATAATATTACATGAGATAAACATAAAAAATAGCCCATCAATTGAATATCTAATAAAGATGAACTTGCATTATATTCAGAATGCCAATACATTCTGAATATAATGCAAGGCATGCACAATATATTAAAATTGCAGAAATACCAGGCAGGACTATGAATATGGATTCCTGTTATGAATATGCGAGTGTGTGTGTCTATATATAGTTTAAATGGTTACAACGCAACTTTAAATATTCAATTTCTAATACGCAGAATGACATAACTGTAAAGTATCTACTATACTAGCTGACCCGCGCAACTTTGTCGGCGTCACACTTTCCCCGTTTATGTAACATTTCTCATTGAAGATCCAATCCAATTAGCGTGCTTAGTGCTTTGAGTTCCCTGTTTTATTTTCCTAAGTTCCTTGTACTTTTATACAAGAATTCATCAAAATTGGTTATACCGCATAGTCATGAAGACAAAGCAGATGTATAGATGTTTGATATAGTACCAACACAGATAACATAATATTACATAGTATCCTACACTGCGCACTTGACTGGTCATCGTCGTGAACTAAAATATTTGTCAAATAATGTAGTGGAAAGACAAAGTTTATCTACTTTAAGTACCGACATAATCGACAAAAGTAATTCTTTTGATAAGGATAAATTTGTTAAGACTAAATGTACTTTAGAAATGTAGTATCAATTTTTATTTTATTTATGGTTCACTATTTCGGCGACAATAGCTTATAACGTAAAAGGATATGTTACATAATATATATACATATATGTTATCCCAAACTTTTTTTGTAGGAGTCTTGGAGATAAACATTTCCATCATACATTATGTACGCGTAGCTCTAACGGCTTTTGCAGCGCACACGAGTATAACTTGCAGATCAAAGAACATTTTCCTAGGTTACTTGACACTTATTTTATTTATATTATATTTGTTATTTACTCATTATTATATATTATTTATTTTATATATATATACGTATTTTGGACACTTTACTCAATACCTTTATGTATTTTTAGCTATATGCTATTCTTATGTATGAAGTAGGTATTTAATAAAACTTTAAATTAATTTTAAAGTTTTATTAAAATCCGTTCAGTAGTTATTGCTTGAAAAATAAACAAACATTCACACATATATTTATACAAACTTTCTTTCTCATAATAATTAGTTATAATTATCTAGTACATTATTTTTATACTGACGAGGATTTTTTAGTATATCTATTTAAAAGTTACATCTGCACTATACATTATATTACGATTTTTGCAACGCAAACGAAAATGGCTCCCAGATGGAAGATTTTATTCCAACTTACTTGACATTTACATAATATCTTTTTAAGTAATAAGAGATAGTTTGGAGCTTATATCGTTTTTTACGCTCCAGACTATCTCTGTACCAAATTTTATTGAAATCAGTAGTTTAGGCGTGAAAGCGTCACACAAACAGACACAGACCGATTTTGAATTTATAATATTAATAGAGAACAAAACCCATAAAATTTATTGAATCATATCTGACACAATAATAACATTTTGGAGCCTAATAATAAGATATAAATTTATATGAACATCAACAAAAATATATCAGATATTTTTAAAAAACAAAAAATGATACAATGTTTACCTATAAATTAAACTCCTACTCCTCCTAATGGTAATATGTTCTTATGGAATCATTGAACATTTGATACTTGATTCGTAAAGTAAATATATTTATTTCATATTATTAGAATATATAAAAAAACCGATGCATATATGTATATTATAACTTAAAAAAATATTTATATTAATAGAAACATCTTAAAGCCACTCTTTATATTATAACTTGCTGCGCCCTACAGTATCTATAGGTCCAGGTTCTTCTTATAATCGTTTTATATTAACTATTAATACTGATTACACCTTATGAAATGTAATAAATGTTGTATTATAAAGTAAATAAGTGTTTATTTTAAATTGGCAATATTATATGAATTACTATCAGGATATTATCTTATTATGGTTACACAATGCAAAAAATATATAATCATGCTCGGTTCAAAAATAATACTTTCCAATGAAAACCAATCCCTGTCGGGAAATTAATGAAATCATTTATGTTAATTTACTGATTTCATCCATATTCATTGGGATGGCCTAAAAACCAACAATTGAGCTCGGTTTCCTGTGCACATATACGAGTATGCTCGTACAGTGTAACAAATTATACTGTTTCATTGGAATCGAACTTTACGGTTGTTCTATCTAGATTTTTTAACAATTATAAACATACAATATATAAATTATAATATATTAAATATTGGATTGTATCAGAATAATCACCTCTTATATTAGAACTTAGCTAGTAACTGTCATCATTAGGAATATATTTTTTCATTCCAGTTTATATGCAATTATTAGCTTTATAAATATTATAAAATTATTATTTTTATTGAATTTAAAACTAAGTCTAGAAAAAATAACATATGACAGAAATGTCTTAAATTTAATCTGACCTAGTGTTCAGTTCATGACAGTGTATACAGCTGACAATGTCGCAGACTATTCTGTCTAGAATTATAGTTGGTTGGTTGTTTCACTTCATCGTTTATATTTAGGTAGACGTAAATCGTTATTAAATGAATTAGAGTACATTTCCGTGATAGCAGCTCCGTCCTATATCAATTTTAGGCAAAAACTCGTTTGCTTGCCATTGTGAGATAACTCGGTATTCAGCGTTTTCCTTGCATTCAGCGAGACACGGTGAATACAGTAACTGTTCGGAGCAACATATTATATTTATGTTCTGTTTTCGTAATGAAGTTTCACATTTTTTTTATTTTTCCAACGAAGCGAAACAAGTTGATATATTTCGTGTCTATATATTTTCTGGAAATAATTCGTCACTATTTATAACTCTTAACTGTTAAGAACTATCTTTACTGTCTGTCCATTTGTTTGCTATCTTTTCATGGTAGCAGCTGAATGTATTTTAATGAACTTTAACCTGAAGATTCACGAAACTTTATTTTAGTTAGTAGGTAGTGTAGTTAGTATTTATTAATATTTGAATTGGGTGTGTGAACACCCAATTCAAATACTGGACTGACTCAAATTGTAAATTTTTGATGTTTAGCTTTCAACTTTCACTCTAAAAAACTTTAGAGTGAATTTTCTAAATTTTATTATTTTTTACTTGGTATTGTACTAGGTATTCGATGTATTCAAAACACATGAAGTAAATTATTTAATTTTATTTGTATTAAAATAAGAACCACAAAACATTGTAGAATAATATTGACTATATCGTTAAACATTGCATATGTTTCTATCTATCCGAATGTTTAAGAATATAATTTTCAGAAACGTGTATAATTTTTTATAAACTTAACAAATAGCAACGTAAAGTAATTTAATATTATTTTCAATTACTTGAGAATTTATCTAATCTAATGAAAAATTTCACACACGCAGGGGCAGACCCCGAATGAAGAATACTAATTTTCAGTCGTTACGCGTAGCTGTATACAAAAGCTTGGACCTCTTCATTGGAGTAAATTTCCCATTGAATACATCCCGAGGTTAAATGTCCCAATTATTTACGACCACGCTTTCACATTCGACCTTTCAAGCCTCGAAGGAAAACGAAAGCGCTTTTTATTGCGCCTTTTTAGCAAAATGATGAAATTTAGTTGAGTTTATTTTGTTTAATAAGTCATTTCATATTATGACTAAATATTAGAAATATTGTTACGATTATACTATTTAAAAATTAGTACATTTTTTTTGTATATACAAATATATATATAATATACTTACATAGAAAACAACTAGACCAATACAAAAAATCATAGTCTTTAAATAAAAATGTTTGTACCGTACGATGAATTAAACAGGCCACTATAGAAAATAAATCGATGTGCTAAACCACTAGACCCCAGAGGCCGATTTTAGATATGGTTTTAACTTTTAGATAAAAATTTGAAGAGTTTTGTGGATTTTTATTTATAGGGGTATTTACGTCGTCTTATTGTCTGAAACGCTTATTTCTTTTTTGCATCTGTTTTTATTTAACTATTCTATAATATTATCTTATCTGTGGTATAAGTAAATTCATACTAATATCCTTTTTCCGGCTAAAGAACTGAGCGCGTCGAGTCTTAAAGAAAATTGACGTAATGGTAGATTGTATTATGAGGACTACCATTTACAATATCTATATCTCAATACATTTAGAATGTGTGTGTGAATGTCGATAGTAAACTTTACTTCCATATTTATATTACCAATTTTACAGGTGTCGAACATAAAGGACTATAGTATTTTAAAATAAACACTATAGAAAGTATTATAGTCTTCCAAGAATACCTTGCTAATTCACTAATAAAGATATTCCTGAAAGACATTTCCAGAACTCAATTCAAGACTCAATTAAATAAGTGTTACTCGATATTCCTTATAAAAAATATATCAACATATATTATAATATAGTGTGTTTTTAAAAATATCAGTCTTGGTAGTTCCAGTACGGAACCAAATTCAAAACATGTAAACTAATCATTAAATATCAGCCATCAAATTTAATACAAAGTACCTAAGTGATGATTTCAAATAAGTAATTTAGAAAGTGTTGCATGGGAGGTTAAGAAGTTATATATTATGACACTTATGAATGCAAACAGAAATAAACCTAATTAATTTTAAGATTTGTTTTAAAATAAATATAGGTAATGAGCAAGTAATAATATTTTATGTATACATGTATGTATAAAGTAGTAGTAATAAATGTGAGCTCAGCAGTTTGACCAGTCATTTGTTATAATAAAATATACCTATCTTCATTAAATGATGGCCAATAGGGACTAGTGGAAGAAGAGAACATGGGAAAATTTAATTTATTGATACTATATTCACTAGATCCTTTCATTAATTTTAAACGGTACTTATAAATAAAAAGTTAACCAATGCTTTCTCGTGTTCGAAAAGTAAACATCTTTTTGATGGTTGTAATTAGAAGCAAAATGTATTTAACACATAATCTTGGCGGCAAGACGACAGTGACGCGCTAACAAATCTAATGCTTCCACGGTTTAACATAGCCGGGTTAATTAAAGCTAACAACAAATCAGTAATTATTTTCTCTTCCAGAAACTCAGCTGACGTGTTGTTATTTTAGTGGATCGCTATATTTAAATTCTGAAGTAAGAATTTATGAGAACATTGAAAGACAAGTATTATATTGTTCTTATCTTTCTCAATCTCTGCTATTATTTCTGGTAAACCTATCTAATGTTACTATAAATTAAGATGCAGCTATCTATAAATCGACCACTTAATGTTAAGAGCACTCAACCTCCCGACACCTACGAAAACCGATTCACTCGAAATATTTTACAAGGTTTACGTAAACCAGTAGTTTATCAGGAATTTTTGGGGATAAAATATCACATTAAATGTCCATTAAGTTCTTTCTGCCCGCAGTTGCGAGGCGCAGTGTCAATAGATGATCGATGACGTCAAAGGCGCTAATTCAGGACTCACCTCAAGTTCGCACTATCCCTTCCTTTATTGTACGCCGTCGAATCTGAAAGAAAACGGTCATTGTTAGCTTTCAAATTACATACTCTATTATACAAAACAGATTAAACGGATACCATTACAGACGTAGTGCAGTCGCATACGGGGCTATTACTAAAATAAAAAGAATTTTTACCGTCGGTGTAACGGTATCCGGCATATAATTTATAGGGAATTTATCTATGGGCTGCGAAAACGCCCCGAATAAATTCTACGTCTTATAAAAGTCCATATTTTATGTTATTACACTGGAAGGTAAAACTTTGCATACTTTGTTAGATCGATCACATATTATGAATATAAAATGTAACCTACTCATTCTTTACTAAGCAATATTGCTACCGGACAAGACTTTATGCCAATTTTAGATATTACCTACTTATAAATAGTGAATAAACAATTGAAACTTCTAACTGACTTAGAGCAATAGACCAACTTATAAAAATGATAAAGTAATAAGATGTACACATCGTTGAACGTACAGAATTGTTGTGAACAAATTAGTTATTTATAAATAATTGTTGTTTAAAAGAAATAAAAGAACGAAGAAAAAAAATTAGCGTCGCCTTAATTCCATATAAAGATAGCTATCTAATTAAATTAAAAAAGGTAACTTAAATCAGGGCTAGCCTGCCAGCTAGTTAGCGTTAAAGTTTCGTTTTTAATACAGATTATTAATTGAATTGGGTCTTACGACGAATATTTTTTGCTGAATGAATTTACATCTCTCAATGATTCGGCTAGGTTATACTAGTCGTCTCGAGCTGACCAGAGTGACTTTGATGTTTCGACTATAGTACACTACGGCTAGTGTAATCTAGTCGAAACGTCAAAGAAGGTAAATAACATTATTTACCATAACATTATTCGTGTTACCACCAGATACAATGTATTAAAGACTTATTATTTAATAATAAAAAATATAGTTACATTACAACAATGTATGTATATCCGACGTCAAAGTTTTATATACTTGTATAAAATATTCACAAATAAATAATTAGATAATCAACATGTCAACAGTCCTATAACAAGTAAAGATACAGAAACAACGTCGCGACGAATAACTACCATGTCGTAAAATCGCCACAAGTCTTTGAGGACTTGTTCAGCGTTCCCTACTGTTCCATTATTCTTATTTCTTTGTGAAGATTCCCAATTCACATGATTTATAAACAGTCAACGGGGCTTTACTTGAAATTTACGAAGCACCGCTTAGAGAGCTATCATCACATTGCATTAATTATATTATAATTTGGTTCTTCACTTTATAATTTAGGAATAACTTATATATTTCAGTCAAGAATATTTTCTTAAACATTGATATTTATTGTTCACGCACCAAAAGGTACCAATCCTTGCATAGTGTTAGTTTTCTCTTTGTCAACCCCGTAATGAAGGTTATTACGGGGTTACTATACTATAACTACAATGTAATTAGTACCTTACATCATACTATACATATAATGACAAGAAACATATTGAGATGTAGAAATAAAATGTGAGATATAAAATTTTATATATTGATAGATGCCTGGGTTAATAGTGCAATATTTAAAAAACATTACCTAAATTGCTCCAAAATAGTATGGATTTCTATGTGCAAGTAAAGTTTTATCTATTTGGTACTTTCTGACTGGTTTACATACCCACCAACCTCTCAAGTGTATAAAACTAGAAAATATAAAAGTTACAATTACAGCCAGTGCCACATTTTCACATTTCCCTCCCTTCACTTACTACTGCTTCACCGACTTTGAATATCAATACCAGATTTAACAAGCTTCTATTGCTGACTGCTCCCGATTTACGGCAAAGCCGCTCTACGAACAGGGATTTTGTGTCTTTGTTTACCTATTTCCCTAACAGACTCCGTTATTTATTTTATACCCAAAAAAGCCATGGACTTGTCTCTTATTTTATTCTGCCTTTTTGTTTATACCCTTCGTTACCTTGCCGCCAATTTTGTTCGTTTCCTGCGGTTTTTATCTCTTAACAGTACTTAGGTTTACGCAAATTTATTTAACATAATGGAACTTTATAATTTCGTGGTCAACTTATAAAATTAATCATATTATATACTAACGGTTTCCACACAGACAACTTGAAAGTCTTTGTAGAAAATGAGGTGTCAATAAATATTAAAAATGTTTCTACATTTTCTACTTCAATTATATGTAGTTCTATTCACGTATAAAGTGAGAAAACAGATATGTTTATTATTATTATTGTTTATTGTACAACAATGTTAATAAGGATACCTTAAGTACAATTTTAATATAATTAACGATATATTACAGTTATCTGCATGCAGCTTACTATCACCTCATCATACCATAGTATAATTTTATCATATTTTTATATACAACAGATTTCTCCTGCCATGTTTAAATATGTTCAAATTCAACTTCAGCATTCACCACAGATACTTGCCGAACATTGTGCTTACTGATTGCCATTTCTTTCGTGGTCTGAATAACTTTTACGAAAAAAAACTCTAATTCCCAGCAGGCAGTGCAAACTACTTTCGCTTACTTTCTCGATAGTAGAATATCTAACTTTTACCGCAGTGGCATCAATCAATTCTCTAAGACATGATATCAAACAAATGCATCAACTATGACAATAATTAAATATATATATATGGACATAATATCTAAGTGAACTATTTATGCATAACTAGATATAATTACATGTTACTATATACTTATTATACATGTAATTTTGTGTAAACAAGATTAACTATATTTTTATAAAACAATTGAATCTACAGCGACCGATAGCATCTGTCTGTATATCCTCTGTACTGTTGAGATCTTGAATAAGTTAGGAAAATTATGTAATAAGGATCCTTAAGTATGAATTAAGAATAAAATGTAGATATATTGATAGATATTAAAAATCAAACTAAATAAAATTTCTGAAGTAAGTACTTCAATATAATCGTTGGTGAGAAAATCAACAGAACCCCACAGGTTCTGTTGATTTTCTTTTACTAGAGTAATACCATAACTTACGTGTATTTGTTATTTTGACAAATATTTACTTTATACGCCCCTATAATTTAAAAGGTCGAATGTACGTAACACTGACGGATACTTGCTACAGACACATATATAAACTTTAATAATGACAAAATAAGCAGCATATACCTCTTGTATAAGTAGTGTATGTGTTTTAAAAATGTAACACTAACTTAGTTTCATTTCAATTAATTGTTTTATTAGATAATCAATTGCTTATATTTATTTATATAGTGTTACATAATTATTAAAGTCAATAGATACCTCATGATCTTTAATGTTAAACTTACATTTAAGTTGGATATTTAATACCGATGCAGTTAAACAGGTTAGAACCAAATTTAGATAATAGGATAGGGTGAATAGAATTAGTCAATTACGTTACAATATAACACATAAAAGTCATCCATATATACGTACGATATGTTACTACACTAATAAATAATAAGGCATTACTGGAATAAATAAATAGTACCAACATCAAAGTAACCTTAATCAATTGTGAGCATCTGAGTTAAAATTGTATTTTTCGTAAAATAAATATTCCGTTTTGAAGTTAGTTAAATGTAACAGACTTGACTAACCTCCCTAACAGTTTGATTATATGTACTAACTTTTAAAAAAGCAGATTATACTTATTAACATAATACTTTAATCCCATTATCTTTTTGGAGCATCCAACAGATAAGAATTAGGGGATCGGCAATATTTATTTGGTCCCTTCCATCCCAAATACAAGATGGAATTAACATATTTTAAAGCGATATTTATTGAGTCCACCGAAATGAAGATTTTATTACAAAATCTCAGTAGGTTTATTTTACAAAAGTCGTGAATACTGTAAAAAGAAAATGCTCCATATAAAGTTATACTTTAGGTCTAGTCCTACGATACATAACTGTGTTAGAGTTCGTGATCGAAGAGGAAAAGATATCGTAATGAAAAAATAGCGGTGAACGGACCGGGTTGTATCGTGGTAAGATTACATCGAACTAAGTTTAGTTATCCTCAATCGAACTATTGTCTAATGAATATAAATTATATTATTGCTTTAGATACAGAATCATATGCGCACTTCTAAAATTGCGACTCAACCTCAAATTCCAAATCAATATCAAATCAACCTCTATAAGTACTAAGAATAATCACTATTAATATAACATAATGATCAAACTCTATAATATCATTTGGTACATTCAGTCGGTTTCTTTTCACTCTTGTATTTATACAGAAATATTTTTAATAATAGGAAAACAATACTTTGTGACCGGCTAATTATAAACAGGAAAATATTGTTAAACGAAGATATTTAAGTGAATGGAGAAACGTAACGGTAATTAAGATAATTAAGGGAACGGAGAAAAGTAAACGTAGGTAATTAAGGAACGCGTGGATAAATATATATTCTTATAAGGTAGACATGTTTATGATTTACTGAAGGAAATAAAATAATAACAAAATAGATTTGAGAGACAGAATTCAAATTCGAATTAAATTCGAATGAAAGTTAGAATTGGTGAAAATGATAACACATTATAAATATTTATTTATTTATACTCTTTAGTGCAATAAAGAGTAAGTACAGAAAATAATTATTATTTGCAATTGAAATATAAGGTTACGTAATATCCGTACTCTATACTGTACTGGTAGTCATTTAAAAGGTCTCTTTTAATAAACTATTCCTAAGTTCTTGTTCAAGAAACAGACAAAAGCACAGCACAGTAAAGTAGGTAGACTGGTCCCTTAAAATATAATATGCGACCTGGGGTATACTTCATAATTATGTTAATATTATCCATGTAAGTAAAGATGACAAAACAACAATTGCTGTAGCTAATTGTACTCGGGGGAGAGAAATTTTACGAGAAATGTGACAAATGTCACCTAATGGTATAATGACCCACTACGGCACACTTTCAAGAGTATTATCGTTACATCAACGAGACAATCCTACGAACTTAGCGTAAATTTTATACAATAA